CTTCGTCTGGCCTCTACCCGTTGACCTTTCAGGTATGATTGGATCTACGGCTGTGAAAAGTCATCCTGTTTAGCTCACAGGGTCATTGAGGCGCGCAAGCCATCACACCGAGGTAAGGTGCAGTCTCGTCGTGATGGTTCTATACCTATAATTAATTAGGGGTTATATAATTACCCACTCATTCAATCAGCGCAATCCTGACGGATAACAGATATTTATAAACACCTAAAAGTTATTTCGTTTCAGGCAAGACTAAAATAAATTTAAAGTGTTGTCTCCTAATTGTGCTCTATTCTTCTACATTAGCCAGTCATAAGGATGGCTTGAACGTTATCGAATAGGTTTCTGCACCATATTTTACTATGAGGTGACGAAAACTGTCCATACGGACACTTCGTAGGTCTGCTTATGTTGTTTTATGGTCATGCTGGTATTCAGGCATCCTACAGATGTCGAATTTTGAGTGGTTTCCTTAGGCTTGTTTTAGCTATAGTGCGAACTTCATCTAAGTTTTGTTAACAATAATGTTATAAAACAATCAGTTCTGTAACTATTTTTGAAGCCTTATCCACGCTGATAGGTAATACAAGCATACTGCGGCTGTCGATCAGTGTGGTGAACGTTAAACATGGCAACATTTTTAGGAATGCAAGTAATGATTATGAGAATTGATAATCAGCACTTGACGAACACAACGGCTTTGCACGTGCAAAATACTACTCACAGCGTTGGATAAATGTGAACCACACATGCATGCTTGCATCGTAAATTTATTGATTTCCATTTTCTACAATTTCACATGCAACCCCATCAAATGGAGTTGGAGATTATCGACTGCATATTTTTATTAAATGTGAGTGAATATCATTTTCACGAGGCGATATTATTTAGTTGACTGGACCTGACAAATTGGAACGGTTAGCCACATAGGGCTTTCGTTTATCTTCCTACATTTTAGAATTCAGTATGAAAATATGCACAAATAAACACGTGCACCTTTGACAACGATACACGTTCAACCAGTACAGACGGCATTACTGAAACTCTAACAATACGTACAGTTCGACGTGACCTGAATGGTCTTCCAGAAATCGGATCACATGTTCGTTGTATATTTTGTGGAAATTGTTTCGATTGTAATACCTTTCCGTCCATGCGAACGCTAATCTTCATCGGATGACGCTATATCATCACCTAATTGAGTTGATTAGGTTTGAAATAACTGAAATGAACTCTGAGAAAAGTATATTCGCATCAGACGGAGTGGATTATTGTTGGAATACCGGTGAGACACTAGAGACTTTAGGATATAACCGCAATACAGATATACGAATAGTTTAATAATCATTAGAAATACTTCAAAAATCCCCATCAGGATTATGTAGTTTGAGGTACGTGATGTTTTCCTGACCAACCCTCCTGGTGTTCTAAGTCGAGAAAAAGCAAGCAGAAGTTTGAGAAAAGTGGAGAAGCGGTACACGACTAAGGAGGGTAGAAAAGTTAATTCAATCTTGACGACCAAAACTCGACAGATCCTACAATTTTTGCAGTGAAATGGTAGTCAAATGAAGGGCCGGCACCTCCCATAGCAGACACGCGCGTTGACTATCCCATCGATTTCTCATCGTAGCCACATGTTATAAACCGTAATTTACGCACATTTTCTATCTAAATCAGAAACATGTTGATGACAAAACTCGAAGCTCGCTTGTCATTCCTTGTCAGTTGATAAATCTTTGCATGGGCCGAATCACTTTATTTGATTTCGGGAGGTTTGGTTGACCAAAATAATCTCGCAAAATCCCCCTTTACACATCCAACGAATACACGTACGGTTCAAAATATCACGTGGTCAAAGTATCGCAGGAGTGTCATTCATTTGAAAGTGACTATCATTGATCTGCGCACCTCACAGAAGGGGATCTGATGTGTTCATTTATACCGCACTCCGAGAACTGGTAAATATGGCCTCAGTAAATGCGACAACTGAAGATAATGTTGAATTGGTTCAACAAATTGAGCGCATACAAAATCATAAAAATGTGCAAGGCCTCATCCTGGTCAATGCAGAAGGCAATCCGGTTCGATCAAACTTGGATAATTCAACATCCTTACAATATACCAGGCACATGGAAGAGCTGAAAACCATCACCGAACACGTAGTCCGAGACTTGGATCCCCGAGACGAATTAGTGGTGCTTCGTATACGAAACAAATTCAACGAAATAATGGTGCTACCGGGTAAGTGTCGAAACGAATCCTCGGAACCGGTTAGGAAAATTCGTAGAGTTGGTATCCGTTTCAGCCCAGATGCTTTGAAAAACCAATTGGTATAGCATTCACTAGAATACGAGGACGATGTCAATGGTGAAATGTGCATATTTGTATTTGAATAACTATTCATGTCATTGATGCTAGTATTTCAGTTATACTTGCGTTCAACATCCTTTCAAATAAAAACTGGCAACCTAAATGTGCACTTAAACAATCTTAGACAGCTTGCCTTGCTAATATGCTTCACTGAATGCAAAACGCAAAAGCCTTCTGAGGATTCAATTCCAATGTCCCAAGAACTGCTGTACATCTTAGATAAAAGACCAGTTACCTAAAATGATAGTTCACCTGTGGTACATCTGAAACCAGAGATACCCAAGGTGAGGGAAAGAACAGAATAAGAAGCGATCCTACATCCTAAACTAGCTTGGTAGGACGAAATGGGATTTCGCGGGATCAAACACAGAAACTAGACCTTGAGAGTGGTCAAGGAAAACAAGAGATAAATGAGAGCGTGAATAAAAAAGAAAATCATGTCTGATGGGGCACAGAATAACCACTCTGGTTTGTGTTGTGAAATACGCCTGATTGTCTTGAGACAGTAAGTAATCAAGGGAAAGATTATCGGAGTAAATTGTCAACGTGCTGAATCATTTGGGGTGACGTGGCCCCTTGTTTTAGGGACCCAGGAACTGGATGTAGCCAAGGTTGCAATGGAAAAGTGTGATACCGAAGGGGGCATCAGAAAAGCAACCCGAAGTAAAGATAACATAGACACCTAAATAATGTAACCTAGCAGTAACTCAATTAGCCACGCCCCACCTTCTGCACTTGATGTCAGTCATCATAAGGTAAATAGGCAGTAAGGCTTGCTTACCGTTGTTTGGTGTTCTTGGTTGATCGCATCAAATGGAATGAGATACGGTGAGAAAGCGTGACATTTGAAAGTTCAGTACGACCAGAGGCTTCCTAGACTCCGATCTATTAGTTGCTGGACCTTTAATCCATTGAGAAAGTTCACGTGGGATGAAAAAAATACGTCTGAACCTATCCGCAATTTGTGAAGTTGAGTGAAATACCACCAGGACTCATTGCGCGAGGTGATTCCATGAAACCCCCTGAACTGCCATCAGGAATGCTCAAAACCTGATTCATCTGCTAGTGGGAAGTGGCCAAGGCACAGTGTAATGAGCTTAGCGCATGGCACGTGAGCGTAGCAAGAGCAGTACCGATGCAATCACACAAAACAAAGTGACAGAAAACGATAAACTGTATCCTCCAACACCGAAGAAGAGTAGGAGAGCTCTTAGATCCTTATAGGATGTTTGGATTAGCCACGAGGGAAAACCAGAAAACAACAATCTTTCGGTTGAGAAGAGTTCTTCGTCTTCAACGCAGTATGATCATAAATCGCACCTTCGGCGGTGCCGTTTCCTACACTGTGCTCAAGATTGTAGAGAACCCTAGAAATTTAGGGTAGCAATGGCCATTTTTATCTTTTCTGCCCACGGTGCACTTCTTGTACCGCAAGAGACGAAATCTGTAAATGAATCTATCCCCATTAGGGTGAATAGGTTTCCTCGCTCACTATTCGTTATCTGTCTACGCAATCCGCAGTAGACTACAATGCGATCACATGGATGGGTCCTGAATCTACTCAGGGAACAACCAATAACATGAAACCACTCCCAGGTGCTCGAAATTCACAAAACACTAGAGACCACGAAATGACTAGCAAAATTTCGAACCAGCAAACAGCCTGCACCAGTATGAGATTTGTCTCTAAGGGTCAATGAATGCACCTTCTCAGTGGGAATAGGACAGATTTAGATCTCTACGAAACCTCATTTTTCTTGTTATGGTACATGGTCGACTTCCTCGGGTATTGAGTTACGTCTGGAACTTTGTTTCTTTTGTCTTCAAAAATTACAAAAAAGAACAAGGATGCCTGGTAATATGTATTCAGGCGAGAGAAGATCATCTGGATGAAGGCACCGGATTCTGATTGAACTGTCCTCGACAAAACCTCAGGACCGTACCGATGTCGCGGAATTACCAGCTTCGAGTACGGTACATTGCTATATGTAAAAAATAGATCCCCATGTTCATTGTGACCTGGTATATATTGATGTTGAATACAAACGTGATTTGATTATTTAAGAATTTTACTTTACGTTTGTCAATACCCAAACGGTCCCATACAAAACAAAAAGAGCACAAGCTGAACGATAATCTTGTTTAAAATGTTCTCTCACACCAATAAAGCCTTATAAACAGAATGTACAGATTACACTACTGATGGAAGGCAATCGCTTTTCTGTCACTAGTGCATGCGATATTTCAGTTTCAGTTCGAGTGTATACAACCATCTATGTACTTTGGCGCTATGCTCTCTTGCATATCCATTTTGACGAGTGAGTACAAAGAAGATAAGGGTGCTGGAGCCAGCATTGATGTGAAAACGGTATTTATTTAGGATTTTGAAAGATCCGCGAGCGACACTGATTATGATACACCGTCATATCACAGAATCTATAGTCGGCCAGACTATCCTGGAAGGTGGTGCACGAGACCTTTCCCCAGCGATTCCAATCGAAAGACAATTGCAAAATCCAGTGTTTATTGGTGGCGACATAAAAAGTGCATTCACTATGGGAAAACTGTGCTATATACATACGGTTGTGCAGTTTAGATTTTTCCGGAATGGAAATTACGATAGCGCCGATGGGGAATGCACAAATCAGATTGTCGTATTCTGTCCGTTACAGTAACATCGAGAAAACACCGGCATTTTCTCACGGTAGCGATTTGTCTCAGTCCAGTTCAAATTCATATCGCCAGAATCCTGCAGGGAAATTGAGGTTCCCCTTGATAGTGACTGTCTATAGATTAAACCGATCCTGAATTCACCATCCAGGAGGCCTAACGATATACATATGGCCCAGTTTTATGGTCAGGACTCCCATACCCGCATACCAGGGCTTAGTTTCGACCACCTTTGTAATGTTTCATCCGCAACCTATCCCGACGAGCAACGCACGTCACGGCAACACACTTGGTGGCATGGGAAAAACGCCCCAACCAAATTAAATTTCTGAAGGCTGAGTACCTACTCAGGTGGACGGCCACAATGACCTAAAGCTGTGCAACTGGTCTATGCATTGCTTGTTCGGTTGACTCACCAAACTCGCACAATCCCGTGTCAGCAGAGGTTTTCGAACACCAATAGTATATTTCCCAACGGTTTCCGCAAAGAATTGGATTAACCTCATCGTTCAATATTCTCACATTAGGTAAGAATTGTGTACAATTTACAGGCAAGTGCGACGGCAATTCGGATAGCCGGTTTTGAAAAGGCTGTTCGTTCGATCGAAAGGGTCATAACTTAAATAGTGAATGTTCGAAATATATGTAGACAGCTGCTTCATTGTTGCACGGACGAAGAGGACACTGCATACTGATTTTGTGCCATCATCAGGTACTCAAAAATGCAATAATGCGGTGCGAAATGCACAAATAATTTTCAGGGCCGTGAACCTTGGATATAAACGCCTTCCGGTTTGCTTGCACGAAGCTCAAATCTACCGGTTACTCACGTTGGAATCATAGATCATCTGAAGTTATTCGAGCAGCAATGGAACCAAACAGGATATACTGCGCTTGGCATTACCACTGAGTGCCAACTCATACTGGGTCGCTATTAGCGCCCAATCAGTTGGCAATTTTAAAGTGTTTTGTATGGCCTAGCGTTGGATATCGCTTCTATGCATTACTCCCACTGAGCGCGTAATACTAATGTTCAATGTACACACAGACATACAAACACAAGCAAATGACACGGACGTTCCTCCAACAAGACATTAATTACATTGACTAACCAGACTGCACTACGAATCTGCTTTTTATTGATTGGCCTGTCTCGAACGGCCAGCACCGGTTAATGACATGCTTTTGCTGGTGTACGTGAATTACGGTGTTTCCAGTATATGCGTAATTAAAGGATTTACTTTAGTGCTTATTAGGAGTACCACTTAATATAACAAATTCAACTCTAGCTTTTTAGTTCATATTAATCCCGAACAGCTTTTTGAATTTTCTATTTTTTTAGATACACCGAGGGGAGTGCGTTTAATGAAACAAATGTAAACATTGATTGAACCTTTTTATCAGGGTACGCAATGATTTTCCTGGAGTATTGAGATTTGCTATCAGTTGGAAGATATCCCTAACGACACATCAAGTCAGCCGTTACGGCAAAATCTACTATCTTTCGGCCACCCGTCTGATCAATAAAAAATAAACAAAAGGTGGAATGTTATCAAGGAAAATGTAGGGTATATGAAACCGCAACACGAAGAAGGATGATCAAACCCGCGTGCGCATTCAACGTTGACAGCCTATTCGTGTTCGCATTCAACGTAACTGTTGTAAGTGTATACTCATTCATTTCATTAAAAATACACTGATCGTCACACAACATACAAAGAAGCCATTGACCAGAAAACAATACACCACCCATCTAAATTCGAATATAATCCCTCGGCAACTCGCTTTATTTGATAAGATGTCCCAGATGCTGGATAGGTATTTTTTCATATAGAAAACTGAGATGCGAATATACCGGAAAGCAGAGCGTACGTAATTCTGAGAACGACGGAAGAGAGAATTGCTATACTACAGTTCGAGGTGATCAAGAATTCTATCGGCAAACTTCGCGTGGGATTGTGTTTGATCAGTAAGGTGTATGATCGAATCACTTATTAAAACCAGAGAACTATGAGAGGACTAATGGATCCTGGCGCAAATCAAGACATTTTAGAGACCCGCAAATCCACAAAAAGAGGACAGCATTATTTAACAATTCGGAAAGCTCCTTCAGGTTCAGAGCTGCCCGAATTCGTGTACCTGAACAGATTAACGCGGAAATTTGAAAATCATACTAAGATGGGGCACCAACACAGAAATGCTGGTCTTCTTACATTTTCACTTTCTACCTGTTTCTATCCCAATTTAATAAAGCGCTATAGATCTTGGATCCACAACTCAGCATTTATCGTTTTTT